TCCCAATCTTTTTTTTTTAGAGCTAATGTGAGAAACAACAACAACAACAACCTGGATTCGATTGTGCAGCAGAAGAAGAAGTTGATGTCAGATTTGTGCGGGGTGGAGAAACCTCACTCCGCACAAGGGGGATGATCGCACCACGTTGTGTTAAATTGGTCAAGCACCCTCGAGGCAGTAACACAGTGCTTATGACTGTCTCTGGAAGTGAACACCAGAAAGTAAACTAAGTCATACACCGCTGTCATCCGTACNACCCTTAGCAGGATGCAGCGCATCCTTCATGCGACTCGCCGAATATTTCACGGCGCTTCGCGCTTGGTGATGTGAGAGCCTGGTCCGGTGAGAACCCGGCGTGCTCCGTCCCGGCTTTGTAGGGATACGAGGTCAATGGTCTAACGACTAGGGCATGCACGACAATGAGTACACCCCCCCCACACCCCCAGGCAGGAGACTTACACGCTGCTGTTGTAATGCTTGTCTGGCCCACACAGGCCAGCAAGCGCACGACCGTTCATCTCACCCATCCACACTGCTATGTTCTGATTGGCCAACGGAGGAAAATTATTCCGCGCGTTTCCCAAAAGCCCGATCTCAACCGCTGCGTCTCTTCAGTAAGCGACACTACTGCTGTAGGCGCACCTTCAATATTCGTCTCTCACGCCACCGAAGCGCGAGCGAAAGGAGCAAAAGCTCACATCGTGGCCTATGTGAGAGAATCCACGCCCGGCAGCTACTCGGGTGAGTCCCAGACTTGCCATTCTTCATCACAACTGGTATGCACCCTCTCAATGTTGATGCCGCTACAGGCTGCGGCCTGCTGCGAGCGCTACGCGAGGTACATATATACAGCAGAGGAGTAGCTTTGTGTGTTCGCTCTACGTAGGCACCCCCGATCAACTCGCATAGTCCCCATTACCATCAATGAAGAGCTGCACCGCACCACCTCCCAGCCACCAGCCCTGCCTGATCACAGCAAGTCTGTCTGGTGTTTTGAGAGCTGCAGAGCTGCGAACCCGAATTTGATTCTCCCATTATCGGACTCTGTCGTCTGCCCCTCTGGCCCCTATCCTCCACTTCTATCAGCTAGACGACCCAACCGGGGTCACATAGGAGGGGGGGGTTGGACCCCCTCCTGCGGTTCCTGTCTGAGATGTTTTTATCGCGACAAGGGTACAGCAATCCCTTCCCTCGCGACTTATGAAGTCGATGAAGTTTACTAGCAACGAGCTTTGCATTGATTTCCTCCACTTGCCAGTTCCGACCAAAAGTGGAACCACTGCTGCTGCATGTTAGCAGGCAATGCACTACCCTAGGGGTTTCGAGGGTCTCCAAGACCACAGCGCCATCTTACTTTTAAAGTTGTAAGCAAGGAGGCGGTGCGTGACGGACGGGGGAACGGACCTGTCTGTATTGACAATAGCCGCCTTTCGGTGCCTTTCGCTCTCACGCTCAAGGCGGAGCTACATGTGGATACAGGAAAACAGCACCCGCCCCTGCTATTGCTCGTCTCGAACAACCCCACAGCAGTTCGCCGGGGCCGTTTCGCAGTGTACACACGGGAAATACAGGATCGAGCTCCAAAAATGGAGCAGATGCTTCTTCGAACCTGATAGAAGCTCCACACCTTCACCCCGCCGGCATGCGTTGTTGTGTGTGTTTACGTCCTATTTATTATGGCGGCAGCTAGTCCCCCCATTTTTCCTGGTGAGACGTGTATAATACTTTTCAGAGTATTTTTTCGCTCAACCACCATCCAGGGTCACACAGGAGGGGGTAAACACCAGGGCTATTTTCTTCTTTTTATCTCTTTTCTTGCCCCATCTTCCTCCTGCGGTGCGTGCTGGATTATATTTTTATCGCGAGAAGGGTCCAGCCGTCCCTTTCCCTCGTCAACGGTGCTAACGTCGAAGTTTGGTACCGTGGCCGGTCGCCCCGGCGGTCTAGGTATTTATCCTCGTAATCCGCTAGTCGTAGAGGTCGTGAGTTCGAATCCCCATGGGGTGAAAATTTACGAAATTTGCGGGTGAAAGCGAAATATTGCTAAAAAGCTCTCGTGAGTACCAAACTTCGACGTTGGTACCGTTTACGAGGGAAAGGGACGGCTGGACCCTTCTCGAGATAAAATTCAGCACGCACCGCAGGAGGAAGGTCGGGCATGAAAAGAAATAAAAAGAAGAAAAAGCCCTGGGNGAAAGCGAAATATTGCTAAAAAGCTCTCGTGAGTACCAAACTTCGACGTTGGTACCGTTTACGAGGGAAAGGGACGGCTGGACCCTTCTCGAGATAAAATTCAGCACGCACCGCAGGAGGAAGGTCGGGCATGAAAAGAAATAAAAAGAAGAAAAAGCCCTGGGGTTTACCCCCTCCTGTGTGGCCCTGGATGGTTGTAGTTGTACGAAAAAATACACTGAAAAGTGTAGTACGCGTCTCACCACGAAAAATAAGTGGGACTGTCGCCATAATGAATAGGACGAAAACACACACGCACACACACACACACTCGAGAGCTTTCTAGCTATATTTCGCTTTCACCCGAAAATTTCGTAAATTTTGCACACCATGGGGATCCGAACTCACGATCTCTGCGACTAGCGGATTACGAGGATACCACAAGACCACCGGGCCGACCGGTTGCCGGTATGCATCATCTGCATGGCATGCATACATTTTTTCCTTTTTATCGATACGGGTCGAATGGTTGTCTCGGAGTGCGAGTCTCGGATCATTCGTGCTTCTTGTCGCCTGATCGACAAGTCCAGCGTCCAGCGGCGTGCTTGCAGCCTCAAATCGTTTTGGGTTCCGTCCTGGTCGCACTTGATTTGTTTCGGATTTAGGGAGGGCATGCGGCCTGGCGGCCCGGCCGGTGCAATACACACACAGGATACAGCAGTACGACACCAAAGGCAGATAGGGCTAGCTGCACCAGTGAAAAACGATGTAACGAGATTGGTCCATACCTACACCTTGAACACGTTCGTTGTACTTTTAGACTGTAGCCGCAGCAGCAAATGTAGTGCCGAAAATGTTAATGTTTGTACGTACACACACATTCTACCTGCACAACAAAATATGAGAAGTAACAATACATCAAGCCTGGTACAGCAGTCTTACAGAACAACACCGACACTCTAATTGGCTTTGAAGCTTTCTTTTCTTGGGAGGTGACAACAGATTGAGAAATTGACCAAGAGAGCACCCAGCAATCAAAACCGAAATGCAAGACACCACCCTGGAAAGCGTGGCAACAAATGTTTCGTCCGTTGCCGCAGCGGTTGGGGTTCGCGCAAAATTTTCCAGTCTTGTCGTATGCGTAGCTCCATACGACAGAGCGAAGCGCAGCTTGAGGTACCGTGGGTGTTCCCCCCCGCGCGCGCTCCTGTAAGCTATTTTGTTTCATCCCTTTCCCCGGTAAAGGACTAGGCGGAGGTGCGGAAGCCAGGATATACCGTAGATATCTTCGCAATGGCATTATAGACACACCCGACCAGTAGAGATCTGGAAAACAAAGGAATCACTTGTGGCGCGAGGGTTTTCACAGAGATATAATATCCGCCGAATGCTGCGAACATCCGTGCCGACGATGCCCTTGCAGCGTGATGATGTTCCTAAGCTTCTGAAAGACCTAAAAACAGGGAGTAGGATCTCTCAACGTCAGTATCCCTCCTCGCCGCCCTCTCTCCCACCTTGTGTTGTGACGGCATTCAACCGAACGACAGGAAGCCCGCCTGGCGATCCGCGCATGTGAGAGGGAGGTATGGGGGCGACGGGGCTAACGGGCTCCAAGATGAAGAAATGGGCTCCACGATCGGTGCAGGTAGGCATCATATCCCTCCAGCAAGCATACCTGCAAGTCGCCGACGGGCGTACACTGACGCCCGAAACGCCACGAGTCTATTGACACCAAGGTGGAGGTTTTGCACCGTCCCCAGTTTTCCTGCGAAGGTCCGGTTGATACCACTAGGTAGGATGGCGGGCGAGTTACCAGGCCGAACCTTGATGACGGGTCTTGTGAAAATATCTGTTGATACGCATCGTGTGCTTTGTATGAGGTTGGAATGCATCCACACTGCCGACATGACCACAACGCTTACGAAGAATCGGTAGGTTTTCTTGTTGCAGCGATGTCAATCGCCGTGAAGTCAAGGCCGGCTCGCATGCTGCCTCGTGTGTTGGGAGATTACTTTGCACCACATACACCGGAGGAAACATTGATTTCCCCCTAACTCGCGGGAGACGGTTTTCGTTGACGTCTCGCCCCAACGCGCGGTGCAGGGCCTCTTCCTGACGATGGTGCTCGCTCAACGTTCCTTGGCAATGCCAACAGTCCTAGATGAGCAACTTCCTGTCATTGAACATAGAGACGGCAAAGGGGATGAAGCAGCAGCAACACCAACAACAATAGCGTCAGGGCGAGATGGATCTCGCCAAAACCGACCACGACGGAAAGAGTACCCATATTCGCGAAAACACCACCAACGGCACCAACAGTGGCGGGCCGAGCAGGAGCATGCTCCATACACCCCAGTGTCATCACGGAGCTACCGCAACCAGCAGGGGTGGGGGCGAGAGCACCGAAAGCTGGACAGAGCAACAGAAGGGGATCCAGGGCTCTCGTTGGTGCCAAAGATGCCAGAGGATGGGGACAATTCGTTTCCACAGATTTACCGGGCTCCCACCGACCCTCCCACCAACGGGTCGTGTCCGGTTGCCGTCCATAATTCCAACTCTGCCGCTTTAAATGAAGACCGAGATAGCCCCGAGCCGTCGACTGCGATCGTCGGCGCCTTTCCCGTGTGGGTTAGGCTGCAACAGGCCGCAACCGTATCATCGCGACTGCGATGTCCGAGCCCGCCGTGCTGCCTCGTGAGTGTCGGACCTACATACCACACCGTTATGGGTATCAACACTACTCATACACTGATGTCGAGTATGTACCTGCGGCTCGGCTGTTTACTCATTCGTAGCCTAGTTTTTCGCCGGAGAGTCTCGTGCTAACGTTGATGATCTTGAAACACACACAGGATGTGCTCCTTTCCATTTCAGCCACACGCTGGAAAGTTTCGCAGGGGAGATGATTGCGCCACGGCACGATCCCTCTGCGCGATGAATTCCAATCAACATAAAGTGCTTTCGCGTCCTTCCTCCCTCCCTCGGTAATCGTCAGATACGCACGCGCACGCGTGTATTGCAACACATAGCAATCCTTTTGTAGCACATCCCGTCATCCTCCGCTCTTTCTCTCTCTCTCTCTCCCCTCTTTCCCCTCCTTCTCTGCCTTCTGCAGGGGGACCACGTGCACACGTATCGGGGGGGCGACCTCGGAGAGGAAATGTCGCACATCCAGGGAGCCGTTGTGGTCCGCAGGACCGACCTGGCGCGGGCTCCCGGAACGCTGGCGCCTGCCCACGACGTGGACTTCGTTAGGACGTTTCAGTCCTACTTCCCTATCTCGCGAAGCTCGCTGCTCAGGTGCGTTGTTTCTCCATTCTATCGTCGCATGTTTGCTAGTACGCCTGAGCGAATACGCGAGTAAAACACGGTTGGACTCTTCTCTCGTTTCAAAATAAAGGTGTGCCCTTCAAGTATTTTTTGTGTGCGACCCTGGATCGGAGGTCTTCGGTTGGAGGACCAAGAACATGGGGTGGCGTAGAAACTGCGAGCGAGGCGATTTATTCATGGGATGTGCAAAAAAGACGATCGCGGCCCACCTATGGGTGAGATGCGAGTGCACGTGGCATGTCCACCAGTACCCAGGCAAGCTGTACATTTTTCGGATCTCGCAGCGCTCAAGGCTCGGGTGTGCCTTTGCCGTTTTCCTGTTGTTATTGGCCCAGGTGTTTTAGACGCCACTCCGTTGGCTTGCAAGAACGCGTCACTCGGTTGTTCGCCGGCATGAAAAGCGCCTCTTTCATAGGAATGCCACGGTGACTACTTCTCTTCACACACAAGTATGGAACGATGTACGTAGCCGTCCTTCCCAGCTTCAATTTGCTCGTCAACTCTGACCAACGCCTCATTTCCTTGCATTTTCTTTGCACCCAGCCTTGTTCTACCAACATGTTGGAAGCAGGCGATAGTATGTTGGCTGCTGCCGTTTGCGTTGTTGCAGGAGCGCAGTCACGGCTGCCCTAGCACAGCCTTCCTAGCTCCTTCTCGTAGCCTGTTCACCCAGGCCATAGCTTCCTCAGCTTTTTCCACCTGGGCTGTGGTCAGAGCTGCTGCTTCCGTGCAGCCAAAAGCTTATTATTTTGCGTGCGTTTTGTTCACCATAAACCTGCTGGAACAGAGGAATGCTCGAGGCTGACGAACAAAACATGACATCCACGACCACACACACACTTCCGAAGTTCCCCGAGCTACTTGGAGTCACTTCATTCCTAGGCGCCGTTCGCGAGGGCAACCCTGCTGCGGCAGAGTGAGTGACGTCAACGACTGGTTCACATTCATCGAGCAAACTTGTTTTTCTCCGTTGTCTGAAGCGGGTTCGAGGTGCGAGATGACAGCTTGGTTGTTGTTTTTTCGTTTTGCAAGGCACCGGGCGGCCGGAGCGCTGCTCCCCTTCCGCTCCGTGCACTGGCCAGCCTGAGGGCTCCAGAAGAAGCAATGATGATGCCAACCGTTGGGGATATGGGGGACGTACACACGTGCCAAAAATCATCGTGGAACGGGCGACGGCCGGGGCAAGAGCTGCGGTGGTAGGTTTGTCCGTGAGCGGTACGCCAACAATAATGTGGCCAAGTATCTCAAAGCGCCAGGCTGCAACTTAAACAGCTAAGCCGAAAGCGGAGGTTTCGCCAAACCCTGGCACCTGCCATCACCTTCTGGATGATGAACATAGTTGTGCGTTATGTTGTGAAAGACAACAGTCCCCTTGAGTGCGTCGGATGGACATTGATTGGGTAATTCGTCGTGCGCATCGTGTCCCTCGCGATTGCTGTCTCTGCCGCCGGATGTCCATGCGTTGTTTGCGCGTTTACACAACAGAGAGATTCGTGGTTGTGGTACGCTTGTTTTTTGGAGTGAAAGGCGACTTCTGTGGAGAAAGTGACCGGCGGAAGAGTTCAATTCTCGCCAGATCAGGGCGCATTACCGAAAGGCCGGGGAAAAACTCCGGTGACATTAGCCGCGGCAGCATGGGATACCCAGGGCGTTTTGTGACATGGCAGGATGAGCGTGGGCGTTGGAAGATTATGCTAGGTCCAGTCACGCTGGTCACCATTCCCAACCCTATCGACTCCTGTGATGTTCGTTTTTTGTTTTACGTGATTGGTTTTTCAATGACTGCGTAACCTGTTCGGGATAGGTTTCAGAGGGATTGTGGTAGATTCGTCACAATGAGAGTGACGCCTTCTGCATAGATAAGTTGCGTCTGTTTATGTCCTTATCTGAGAAAACAGTGACGCACGCCGTGACTCTCTTTGGAGTACATGTACATGCACATGGAGTGTATTTGATACGTACCGTGTGCTTTTTGCGACCGTTGAATTTTCTTGCGTAACCGCCACACCCGAGGAAGGCTGTTGACCCCGTACTGTTCGGGCGAGGACCCAAGGCAAGACATCGACGATTGTGTAAGGATCCCTACGCTGGTCAGCATGGCAAACGTGTACATCAGCAGGAAAGGGGCCGTGTGGAACGAGAATGTGAGGAAGATGTGGTAAGATTGTACTTGTGCTAGACGGAGGAAGCGATTTTGTAACCCTCCTCTCTGCGATGCTTTCCTGAGCAAGTGCCATCGCCCCGGTGATCTAACGGCTACATCGGTTGAAAATTCTAGTTCCGGCGAGGTTTGGTTTCACGCTTGCTTCGAACAGGGCCACTGTAGATGCGAACACTTTGAAACGGTTTTGGGATACATTCACGGTTGTTGGATCCATTCACTAAGACATGCTTTGCACACCGTAGAAAATTTGGTCAGGATGGCCCAGATCGAAGCTCTTGAGCTTGAGAGGCAAGGCCGCATAACATTTATACAATCTGCCAGCGACGGTACACTGCTGGGACATTGAGAGAGACACGGAGAGAGGACGAGCCGGGAGGGGGGAGTCAGGATTCGATCCTTTTTGTGTTACTTGGCGTATATCAGGTTGAAGTTGGTGGCATTCAGCTCTTGTTTATCGTGTAGTTGGACCAAATCATCGTGACTTCTTATTTTTTTGCACACCGCCGCCCGCGCGTCGCCGGTATTTGTTGTAGTGGGAATTGGCCGGGGGGCAACTATCTGCGCTCTTGCCTTGTGTTCGGAATGTTTCACTGGTGGTCTGGAGCGTCACAGGAAACACGGAGATTTTGCTTCAATTGACTGTTTTGGACGGTGCACTTTGAGCATCGGTGTCTTCAGCGATGGACCTATTGCAGGTTTTCACGACCAAATCCAACCGAAAAGTCAATATCTATATTTTCCTGACCAAGTGTCCATTTCCCCCCTTTTCATTTCTATTTTTTTCCGGACTGGGCGATGGGTCTTGTAACTTCGCCCGACCTACCCGCCCCTCGCAGGATTACATTTTGCCGCTTAATTGCGCTACGGCACACAAACATGAGGGAAAGGACTTCAAAGAAAACGCCGTCGGACCTGTACCGACTTACGTCAAGCGCTACGAGAAGGTGATGCGACTTACAACGTAGTTTGTCTTCTACATGTGATGCGAAAACGTTCACGGTAATGGTCATTCCACGACGGGGGAAAGGCCCATATTGTAGCATGATGGAGGGTGCAGCTAATGGGATGGCGTGTTTTGGTTTCACGTACCAATTGGCTACGGTGGTACGCTTAATGGACCGTCGAGCACAATGATGTGCACAGTGAAGCACGGCGGCAAGCACGACGGTAGCGTGAGGAGGTGATATTCTAGACACGATCCCTGTTGATGCATTTTTAGCCGTATGAGCTTTGCGTGGTAGTCCAAAAGGAAAGGAAGTAATTTTCTTGTTGAAACCATCTGACTCTGAGAACTCCCTCCCTGCGGCCATCAACAGCTGGACACGATGTCAGAAGATAAGACTGCGTAGGAACTCATACATCCCTGAGTACTTTCGGGTGACAACAAGCAGAGTTGCAAAGCATCAAGACGTGCAGGCCTCCCACCGCCCCCTTCTACATCAGGTCACGCGACAGTGTAGACAGTACTGCCACAACGCACGATTGACGTTGCACCGGCAGGAGGCGGGCGTTTAGCGCAATATGCTTTTGAGTCTTGCAGCCAATCGTGCAATCCATGCGTCTCGCTCCTTGTGTATTCTTGACCTGGCCACGTGTGGTGCCTCTTCATCTACTCGTCACCCGTTGATCGCCCCGATCGTGCCTCTCCCTCCCGCCTGTCTCTATCCGGCCATCGCACCGATCTTTACCATATTCATCGCCTGTGGCTGCCTTAGGTGTTCGTGATGACTCAAGATTGGGGCCCGAACTACTACCACTTTACGGTGGAGCATCTGCCGCGGATCACCTTGGCTTTGGATATCCTTCTTGAAAACTCAGAAATCATGGTGGGTGCTGAGAACCTCCCGATTCTATTTTGAACGTCTTTCGTTTCGTTTGATGGGCATCCCATTTACTCAAGGTTCCTCAAAATTGGTGTCCAGTAGGTGGACAAACAGCACGTACTTGTTCCTGTTAGGCTTGCCTTTTGGGGTGGTCGCGAGCCTTTTTATCTTGCCCCGACCTCGACCCTCTCTCAACTCAAGATCTCAGATCCGGGGCCATACAGAGGAAGTCCTCTGCAAGGGATGCATGCCTTCATTTCCAACATGCACACAAGAAGACATGGCCATAAAAAAGCGTGGTGTTGCGTTCATCTTCGCGCTATGCTGATCTGGATGCACTGCACTTCCTCCCGGGGTCGTATCCTCGTGGCCAAGTGAACGCTGCGCCGAGCAGACAAATTTCGTGTCCTTTGGTGGATATAAATATTGCGTCCCCAAAGCTGAAAAATATAAGTACGCAAAACAAAAAGTATCCATATCCAACCTAAAGTACGGTATATTTTTCGCGCATGGCTAGGCCGTAAGCTGGCGGATACAGTGGCAACAATGTGCGTTGCGCATCGGTATTTGTTGTGTCAGCTTGTGTCAGCGGCAGTCCTCAGGTAGCGGAAGCGAACAACATCAGTTGGATGGGGCGTTCCGTTAGGGTGTAGGAACGTGTGCGCAGCAGAAACAGGACGCGCCGTCATTTTCCGCACCGTCGCCACGCACCCCATTTTCATGGCCTGAACGTTTGGTTGCAGGCTTCAATGATGGCACGCTGCCACAAAATTTCACAACAGTACCCGATGTTAATAGGTACGTGGCAGTATTTTCTCCCACCTGTTGGCCCGCGGCATCAGCCGTCCCACATGGAATACATGATTATTTTCGTCCCGTGCCGCTGCTGTTTGCTCAATAAACCTGTCGCCCGTTTTGATCGTCGATTGGCTAAATAATGCAACAATGCAGCACAACATTGACGTGATGATCTTGTCGACGTGCCCCGCGTGTCTTCCAACAACCGCCTTCAGATCGCAGTACACTACCACGATACAGACAAATGGCACGACACTTCCACAGAGCTCGAAGCTCATATGGGCATGTTCGAGATTCTGGGGATCAGCAGAGAGCGCATCATTCTTGTCAAGACAAGGGTGCGAAAAGTAACACATGGTGTTGGTGGTGCTTGTTTTGGTTGTTGTTTACTGCGGGACTTGGCTTATGGCCAGTTGAAAGTCTAGTCTACAAACAGACCGGCAACACGAAAGTTTCTGGTGAAACAAATCGGGTGTAAGAAAGGCTGCTATATCATACATTCTCGAACAACCAAATTGGTCGTAATCTGAATCTGGTGCGTCAAACGTTGGCCACGGTCACCTACGGGAGCTTGCCAACCTCCGTAGACTCGGAGGAAAACATGGACTTGAAATCAGCAGGATTGCGGAGATTCCGCAAGCGATTTGAACCCGAAGGTTAGACCTCTACGCTCATGTGGCGTGGGAGACGGTTCTTTGCAATATTATTGTCCAAATAAAGTGCTGTTTGTCGTACGTTTCGCCGGTTAGCGCAGTTCTGATGCCGACTTGCCAACGAAACACTCAAACAATCTTTCCGCCGACTGGCACGCCTAGTTGACGCTCACCCATGCTGGGTAACAATGCGTGTCCTACTAGTCGATATCTCGCTCTCTTGAACGCTCAATCCGCAGAATTTGACTTTGTCCGTCCCTTCCATCCCAGATCTATGCAGATTTAGTGATTGTGCCGACTACTACTGTTTGCGGCGACCCGGACGCTCACATGGTCAACATGCTCAGGAACAGATTCCTGCAGGTCGGGGGCGAGCGAAAAACCGTTTAGTGTTTGAGGGGGGGGGGCAAGGATGGTCTTGATGCTGTTCGTCGTGCTCTCTGTTGGAAACTTAATTCGAAATTCTTTTCGAGGTGTCTCACTCTTACTCTAGGCTAGGGCATAGTTTTGCTGCTTGTTTCCCTTTGCTGTTTAGCAAACGTGTTGATTGCTGTATATGTCGTACCCCTCCGAAGGGGTTGACATTGTCTCCTGACGATAAATCACATGTAAACCACGACACCGTGCTCGCTGTCTGTGCAGGGTCTTTTTCCGACCACGAATGGCGTTCCTCCTGCACCACCCCGCCCGGTGATCGTGCTCGTTGTGCGCACCACATTGCGGGGCCTGAAGAACAACGACGAGGTAGGTGTGCACACGCAAATGTTTGATCATCGCTATGACATAACTGCCGTTGCTTTTCTTTCGTTTAGCCGATGGAGGACGGCCATCCCATATCCTCCGGTGGCAGCTGATGCCCTGCACGCTCGATGTGCGTTGGCTATTCGACTTACACATATGCTTGTCGATCTTGATAAACAAAGAATTACAAATGGGTGGCAAAATTTGGAAATGCACATGCATGCTTAGCCTGTACAGAGTCGGTCCGCGAGCGAAGCCTGTACAATTGTGCCGTTTGATGACGAGGTTCTCCGACGTACTACGCTTTTTCCTCCATACTTCTCTTCTTCATCAACCGACAGAGCAAGGAAGATGGGGCTTGAGTAAATTTGTGCCGACTTTCACGAAACTCGTAGCGGGCAAGGTGGATTGGGGAAGCCCATAGCCAGGGCACCCAAAGTGGAGCATGTCGTTCGTAGTTTGTGTATGTAATCCCGATCGCGGCCAAAGCTTGGGAGTTGTTTTCTCCATGCATAGGACTTCGCGTGTGTTCTCTTGTCTTTTTTTTTGTTCAAGTCTGGTTAAATCATGTCCAACGGTCGCCCCGGTGGTCTAGTTGGTATCCTCGAAACCTTCAAGGGGTCAGGTCAGGGGTTCGAATCCCGGCGTAAGCGAACTTTTCTGGCAAAGTGAGTTTTTCTCTCGCTTCCGCTCCTGGCCCAGTGGATAGCGCTAGTTCGTGTGTACACAGAGGGAAGAGAGCGCTGAACTCTTCTCGCATTGAAAATCGAAGGCAACGTACCGCAGGAGGGGAGAGAAGAGAGGGGCTCTTCTGTGTGACCACGGGTTGGGGTAAACGGCACCAGTGCTGTGAGCGCTGATTTGAAGTGAAGACAAAAAAAAAAAAACATGTCCGATCTGATCGTGCGCTTTTGAAAACCACGGCAGTCTACTGGAGAGTTGGATGCTGTTCGATAGCAATACGACCAACAACGAAACGTCAATCAATTGTAGGTGAGAGAGGCCCTTCAGATCAACTTTCCGAGCTTCGACGTGGTGGAGTTCTTCGGCACAGATCCCGTCCGAGACCAGCTCAAGACCTTCGCGACCGCAGCCATGATCATAGCTCCCCACGGAGCCGGGCTTGCCAACGTGGTCGTCGCGCCACTGCACACTCCGGTGCTGGAAATAGCGCCGATACGGTGCCCCCCCTGCTTCTTAAGGCTCTCATTGAAGGTATGCATATGAATGTACATTGTGTTGATGAGTGCAGTACTGTGTTAAGGGTGGTGGTGCTTCTCTCATCGCTGACGTTGACTTTGACTACGAAGATGTATCAACGTCGAGCTTTAAAAAGTGGTGATTATTGCTGGTGTGTGTGCTGGTGCGGAGTGCGACGGACGGCACGGTATCGGCGTGTTTTACTGAACGTGGCAGAGAGTGCCTGCCTTGTCCTAACATTTGTGATTCACTCCTAAGTATTCGACTGCTTGGTGAGTCTTCTACCATTGAAGAATGAACCTTCGAACACGTCACAGCTACTACGCGTGATGCTGTTGCACGGTGAGATTTGCTTGTAAATGGTGTCGACTGCCCAGCAATTTCCTGTCCTTGCCCAACGTTGTTTTCCTGCAATCAACCTTCACCGAATGAAAGCTTCACCACGTCTACGCGAGACATCCCGGAGGCAAATGGAAGAAACGGTGTCAGACATGGTACAAGCCAGACGTCGATGAAATTGTCACCCTCGCAAGGTGAGCGTACAGCCTATTTTGTGATATTTTGCTGGTGTTCGGTGTTTCGATCGCATCATGCTGCTTTTCCACATTCGAATGTGGTTCTAACCCTAAACTGTATCTCACTGCACCCGCTCTTTCCGTCAAAGGGCTGAGAATTGGCTTCGGATGTCAGCAGGCATTTCTCGAAGGTTGTCGTAGGGAGCTAAGTTTGATAAACAAGAAATCGCAAGATTCGGTACATATGACTACTTTCGTGGGATAGCGTAGGGTTCAGGAGTGCCAAAGAGAGCTCTTTAGCGATGACAATTGTCGTCGGAATCACTGAAAGCAACAGCGTGTTCCAAAGGCTCGGCCCCCAAGGTGGTTCGGACCAAAGGGATCCATCGAGCCGTGATAGGTTGCACCAGCCAAATATCGATGAACCTGTCCCTCTCGGTAAGGTGTCGCGATCAACGGTTCGTGGTCACCTGCTTGGTTATCGATCGAATCTTGTTTCGGGTGAGTGAAGTCTTGGTCTACCACACACTTGAACTTGCACTTGTCGAATTTTGAAGTATGCATTTCCCGAAACCGTTGCTTGCTTGCTTCATCCGACACAATATTGTAGGGATCTCCTCGAAGGGAAACGCCAGGCAGACGATGCCGTGGAACTTCAGGCAGCAACAGACCCAGATGCATCCCAGCCGTAGTTGCCAAGGAAGAGTGACCACCACGGCCCGCCACTTGTGTCTGTGAAACTTATTCACGAAGTCCTGGGGAAAATTTGTATGGGGCAGAGGGTATCCATGACCGGTTGCTTTACGATTTTTGCCAGAGAAATCGCTCCCTGCACGGCCGGGACGGAACGCCTTAAGATTTCGCCACGTCGTACAAGGGGAGCAGGTAGGCTCTTCGCCCGCTGCAGCTGAGCGGAGGACGAGGTCGTCTCCAAGATCCCTTGGAGGCATATCGTCGCCCTCCTGCGTAGCGATGCACACTCCTGCGATCCGAGAAATATACTTGGGTTCCCAAAGCAAAATGTTGTCTGGTGTAGGTTACCCATGTCTCGACTCGTGTTGCTTGTGGCTGTATTTATTTATTTTTTTCTCTCATCATTGGACTCTGTCGTCTGTCTCTTTTCGACTCGTGTTGCTTGGGGCTGTTTTTTTTTTTTTTTCTCCCGTCATTGGACTTTGTCGTCTGCCCCTCTGAGGCGCCTAACCTCCACTTCTACCAGCTAGACGACCCAACCGGAGTCACATAGGAGGATGGGGTTGGACCCCCTCCTGCGGTTCCTGCCTGAGATATTTTTAACTCGAGAAGGGTACAGCAATCCCTTCCCTCGCGACTTATGAAGTCGATCAAGTTTACTAACAACGAGCTTTGCAGCGCGTCGCTTCCAACGGAGACCAGGATTTATTTAGCGAGAAAAACCTCGCTCTGTCGGGACTCGAATCCATGACCTGGCCCTTAGCAGGCTGCGAGGCTACCCACTTACGACCACCGGGGCGACCGGTGTATGTGCGTTGTCGTCGGTTACATGTTTCCTTCGGTGGTGTTGACCGCGCGAAACAGATGGCCAAGGAAGGTATGCCATTTCCAGCTGATCAGTTGTTTGTGTGTATTAGGTGTATCGACCGCCCCAGCCAGCTAGCCTCGAAAGACGTAAGTCTTCGTGGACGAGCTATGCACAACAATGCGTCCGATTCTGAGGGGTCCCCAGTGGGTGTATTTGGGTGTTCACTAAATGTTACTTTTGTAGCTCGTACAGTGGGTGGCCCGATATAGTGCCGGTTGAATAGTGCCGGTTGCCGGTATAGTGCCGGTGTTTTCGGCTCGCACACACCGGAATATCAAGTCTTTCTGTACTCTGAATAGTGCCGGTGCCCGGTATAGTGCCGCTTTGCTCTCTGAACACATACCGGCACTATAGAGGGCCCCCTACTGTATTTCATTGCCATTGATGGTGCTAAACGGCTGAATGTTGAAAAGGCGTCAACCTTATTGTGAGACCGCGTACACGCTTTTTAGGTGAACCCCCCTCGCCCTGGTGTGTCTTGCCGCGCCGACCCGCTGACCAGTACAAAACGCCAGCCTAGACCATGTAGGCGGGAAAGCGAACATTCCATGTAATAGTAATCTAGACCATGGAAAGCTCTCCGACAGAGGCGTGTTTCCGTGTGGGTATCGGGGTGTTTTTTTTCGCGTGGTAATTGACACCGGTCGCCCCGGTGGTCTAGTTGTATCCTCGTCATAATCCGCTAGTCGCAGAGGTCGTGAGTTCGAATCCCCATGGGGTGAAAAAATTACGAAATGTGCGGGTGAAAGCGAAATATAGCTTACAAGCTCTCGTGAGTACCAAACTTGGACGTTAGCACCGTTGACGAGGGAAACGGACGGCTGGACCCTTCTTCTCGCGACAAAAATAAAATTCAGCACGCACCGCAGGAGGAAGGTGGGGCATGAAAAGAAATAAATAGAAGAAAAAAGCCCTGGTGTTGATCCCCTCCTCCTGTGTGACCCTGGATGGTTGTAGCTGTACGAAAAAGTACACTAAAAAAGTGTGGACACAGGAGGGGGTTTATTAGGTATTATGATCAGGCCGAAAAAATACGTATTCGGTTTCGAAACCGTACTTTATTGAAACATATGGAGGCGTTCCTCTACGTTTCCTTGAATAGAGCGAAGCGTATTTTTTCTGGGCTTGCTCCTTTTACTGTTCGGTAAAAAATTTCCCGCTGTTTTTCGACGACCGGAGCAGACACCGGTCACGCGTGCTGTCTTCATCACACCACACCTAGACAGCACCACCAACACCCCACACTNCTCTCGTGAGTACCAAACTTGGACGTTAGCACCGTTGACGAGGGAAACGGACGGCTGGACCCTTCTTCTCGCGACAAAAATAAAATTCAGCACGCACCGCAGGAGGAAGGTGGGGCATGAAAAGAAATAAATAGAAGAAAAAAGCCCTGGTGTTGATCCCCTCCTCCTGTGTGACCCTGGATGGTTGTAGCTGTACGAAAAAGTACACTAAAAAAGTGTGGACACAGGAGGGGGTTTATTAGGTATTATGATCAGGCCGAAAAAATACGTATTCGGTTTCGAAACCGTACTTTATTGAAACATATGGAGGCGTTCCTCTACGTTTCCTTGAATAGAGCGAAGCGTATTTTTTCTGGGCTTGCTCCTTTTACTGTTCGGTAAAAAATTTCCCGCTGTTTTTCGACGACCGGAGCAGACACCGGTCACGCGTGCTGTCTTCATCACACCACACCTAGACAGCACCACCAACACCCCACACTGCTTCCCGAGGCAACTCCACTACCATGGCTGAGCGCCGGAAGCGCCAGCATCCCCAGGGGCCCGCAGCGCAACGCCGGGAGAAGCGCCGTCGAGGAGCTATCGACGAGGTCGGTGCAGCCCAGGAACACAATAGATTCTCTCACAGTCCCGTGGGTCTTCTGTAGTGGCGGCGGGCGTGGCGGCAGCAGGAGAAGCTCATCGTGCCCACTGCCCTCAGGAACGGGAGCCTATCTACGAGCCCAAGCGACTTCCGTGGGCCCAACACGAGGCGGATCTCGATAAACGGCAAGGCTGTCGGCGGTCGTACCGCATGGAGAAGGCCAGCTTCCACAAGCTTGTCGAGCTACTCCGCCCTTCGCTGGCAGTCAACGCCTTCTTCGGCGGTGAGTGTTGATGTGTGAATGCAGCCGCCCACGGCAGGTATGCGTAAGGCTTCCTCTCATATATACGTAGAGAACAATGGGGAAGAGCAAGTCTAAAACCCAGGAGAAACACTACTGCTGTAGACTGCCTTGCTGTTTGTCTGCTATCTATATAAAAAAAAACTCTCTCATCGAAACATGCAGCCAGGGTATGCATACACGCAGCAGCACTTATTCTACAGCAGTAGGTACAGCAGTGTCTGCATATGCATACAGCAGCAGTCGTTGTATGGGAACGACAGGAAGGTACTATGGTGGCGCTGAAATAAGTTCAGCAGTATGAATAGAGCGTGCAACACACGCCGGCACCACTATACATTATACATGCCTCGTCGGGAGCCTACACAGGTTGTCGTATCCCGCAATGATAGCATACAAGAGTCGACACGTGCTCCTCATATGCATATGCAAGGTTAGTTGTGTGTTCCGTGAAGAACACAGAGCCGTTTCACAACCCTAGTCGGGAGGTGTATTGGGCCGGTACTCTGGCAAGTTTAACGATGACATGCGTCCTTTGACGCTGGAGATTGCAAACACACCACCTATGACACTAGTACATATTTCCTGACCGACACACGCTCATCCTTCGAACATGACCTGCGCGTCGCTCCGAAACCCCACAGCACTGCGATCGCCAATCAACGGCGCCATAGCTGTAGAAGTCCGCGTTGCCGTGGCGTTGAGGATCCTGGCTGGCGCTAGTTACTGGGATGTTGCCCTCATGTTTGGCTTGTCGGTGCCGACCACGTACCAAATCTTGTGGTCGATGATCGACGCCATCAACAAGACGCCTGCGGTTGGAGCATTCGACTNGGGTTATTATTGGCGGCATTCTCTTGACCAGCCGCGGGATGTCGTTTTTTTTTTTGTTACGTCTGGCGTTTCCAGCCGTTTTAGTGTATGGAGGCCTATACACAGCCTTCGACGTTAACGCAGGAAAAACATGTAGTCCCCGGCGGATACAAGTTCGGATTGTCATCGTGGTCAGCATGCCTTCAATCGAACCCCCGGGTCCCGGGTGGTTCGCCAGCTGTTGGGCTTTGTACAAATGGCCTTTTTACAAATGAATGTTTTTTTTTGTGTCATCATTAGTGTATGCTGGCCGCGTTGGTTCCGCCCCGCAACAGTGGCCCGGCAACTGCTTTTAGTCAACCACGTGGCTCTGAGATACCCTGCTACATTTTTACCGCTGAACCTGGCGCAATATTAGCATTAGCAAACACGGTATGTGCACCGTTGCTGGTGATGGCGCCGTCGCACACGACATCAACCCACACAACGTACAGCCGAACGCAATTTACCGAAGTTCGTCAACGTCCATCTCTCGACTAATTTTTTTCCCCTTCCCGGCACTGCTACTTTCCCGCTCTCGTGTCTGCCGTCTACAAATGCAGGAGAAGAGCACCGATGGCATTTTCTCCTGGGTCGTCGCCGCCGTGGATGGTCTGTTCATCAAGGCCAAGGCTCCGTGTGCGAAGGACACCGCCAACGTCATCGCGTACTACTCCGGCAGCAAGTCCGCGTACGGCATCAACGTACAAGCGATGTGCACCGCCGACTACCGGTTCTGCGCAATGTCGGCGATCTCTCCAGGCTCCACGAACGACTGGGTGGCATGGAATCGATCTTCCCTCGGCAAGGCCGTCACCCGCTTGCCCGCCGGATTTCACATCATTGGTGACGCCGCCTACCCCATCGGAGAATAGCTTCTGACGCTGGACCCTGGGAGGCTCCTGCCGCCGNCTCGTTCAACTTCCACCTGAGCCAGCTTCGTGTCAAGATCGAGCAGAGCTTTGGCATCCTGGTTTCGACTTGGGGCATTCTGTGGCGACCTCTCCGTGTGCAGTTCGGAGGACGCGCGGATCTCATCACGGCTCTTTTTCATCTGCACAACTTCCTGCAAGACGAGAAGGTAGCGCCGATCCAGCTTGCAGAGGACTCCCGCAGCGGGCGCAACCGGCTGGCCCTCTGTGCTACGCAGCGCACCTTGCCGGCTGGCTGGCAAACGGAGAACCGGCTCCTTCGAGGAGCGGTGAGACCTCGGCTATCCGCACGGCCCTGGAGTTGAAGAAAGCAGTGGAGGCCGGACTACAACCGTCGGAGGAATTCGTAAGCACGTATCCAGCTCGCATCGCGTCGCGTGCGCACAAGCGGG